AGGTTCCATCACTGAATTAGGGAATGTCTACGTGAGAAATGTGGATCAATAGGTGAAAATTAGTAGAGTGAAAGACCTGTTGCTGTGGCCCTTATTTCAGTGCATTATGTTGTGCAGCAATTTTTCTTGGACTAGATTTAATGGCGCTTCTTAGGATCAAATATCCATGCCACAACATGTGTTGAAACTGATCAGAGCTGTTTTTCTCTTGGCCCCTTATTCCCTCAGTGCTGAAGCATGTTCTGTGCATCAAAATCAGCTTTTCCAGTTTATATTTCTCCGAAAAGAATCCACTTCACGTACATGAAAACTAGTCTGTGAGCAAAACTGTTGCACAGTAAGTGGGAATAGTGGCAAGTGGAAAAGGATTTGCTTCCCAGTTGTGCTGTTGCTCGGAACCAAACACAGCCTCAAGCTAAGTGAACAAGGTCTTCTGTATTTCACAGGCAGCAGAGAGGATGAAGTCAAAAGGATTCTTTTCTGTTTACCTTTAAATTAATTTAGTCTGACACAAACGTGAGGACAGAGAGAAACGCCATGGGAATAGAAAATGAATTTATGATTAACACAGCAATGCTTCTTGAATATTTACTTGCCTATTTATTTGTATGTTTATTTTGCTCACTCTGTCTTTTCCCTCTACTGGAGGTGGCGTAACTTTACTTCAGTCTCTTCAAATAGTCCATTAAATTAAATTATTTTTAAAGATATATCTACACATGCGTTTTCAGTATGCCTTACACAGAGTTTTAAAATGTGCACAAATTGCAATGTTATGGATGGAAAATATCCTTTTGAATTTCATCTTTATTTGGACCTGAACTAAAGATCTTTTATCTGGGATTAAGAGTGCATAGAATCATAGAATACCCAGAGTTTGAAGGGACCTACAAAGGTCAGTATGTCCATTTGGTGCACATCCAATTTCTGAGTGTAGCAGAATGAAGAGGTTACCGCACCCATCCTGCTCAAAGGTGTTTGCTGTCCTCTGCAGTCCTCTTAGATGCGTCAGAAATACTGCATATGTGGCTGCTCTCCAAACCAGTTATTTCAGGATGCCTACATTAGCTTAATATCTAAACCAGGTCACTTTGACAGAGCTACGTTAGGTAACAATTGCACAAGGAGTTATGTGGACAGATGGGGAGGAGCTGATGTCTGTGAGCATGGGACAGGGAGGAGCAGTTACAGATGGGCTGTAAATATGACCATTTGCACCTGGCACAGCTGTAGCTGGACAGCACTTTTGATTGCAACCATATCTTATCTGTTCTGTTTTAAAGTGTAAATGCTGTTTATTTTGTTATTAAAAGCAGTTCAAACCAAAGTATTTCCTTCCTCAAAGAGAGAGAAGCAAACACTAACTAATTCTTACCACATTCATGGAGGGAATGGAAATTTACCATTTTGCAGATGGGAAGTCTCAAGTATAACCATTGTGTGTGAGATTATAGTATGGATATTGCAGTGTTGGATTATGCCTCAGAGCAGTGTGTTAATTTTTCTGTCGATTTTTCTGCTGGCTGAGTTTCAAATGTAGCTGATGAATACTTGAAGTGGATAAAGTGGGATATGTTAACTTTTGCCACCCAGATTGTTCTTCCCTCACAATCATTTTCTCTTCTTTAAATCATTTTCATTTTTCTTTTGATTCTTCCACAACACTTGGAAACTGAGATTGTGCTGCCAGTATCTGCTGCTAAAGAACCTTTTAAGAACTAAAAATGAATCTTACCCTGTGGCAGAAGGCATTGGAGGCTGTAGAAATGGTAGTTGGCAAGAAGTAGTTGTCACCAGCATTTCTGGCATGATCTTGGCCTAGGATGTGGTCTTGTGCTTACCTGGTGCTTTGGGGCACTCTGCCAGTTTTTGGCTCTCAGAACTCACTCATCATAGGATCAGGAAAGCTCAGCTCCACGGTAGCAAGGGGGAAGAAAGAAATACTGCCTGTTTTGATGTTGCTTATTTCATCTGTTTAGCTGTACCATCACACAGAACCATAACTGAAGTGCGGGGAAGTGGGAATTTAGACTTAGGATGGAGTTCCCCACTCAGTCATATTCTTGTTCATTTTAATGCTTGGATGTATTAGTATATTTTAATGTAAGAACTAGAAGTGTCTTGCATTATATTTCACATCATGTCACCACTGTATAATAAAGTAGAAAAGTATGACTAAAGTAGAATAGTATGACCAGTATGACTGGTCAAACTATTTTTCTGTAGCAAAAGAAGGAATGTACAAGCTTATAGTCCTGTTTTTGCTATGAAATTGAGTTCAAACATTCATGTTCAACTGTGGCCCTGGGTAACTCTATTTAACGACTCTGTGTACTCTGTGGAGACATTCCAGTCTTCTCTTCCCAAACCTGGATGTGAAACGCTTCTGTACCTGTATTGTCAGCAGAAGTATTGAAGTAGAATATTCCTGAACAGCTTTCCTAGTGGCCTGAGGGCAGTTTAATTAAGTGGAGGCAATTCAGAAAGTCCCTCAATAAAACTCTGAAAACACGTGATAAATTGTGTATAACAGGTTAATTGCTATATTTTTTATGTTGTAAATAAAACAGAGAGAAGAAGAATTAAACAGCATTGTAAAAAAAAAAAAAAAAAAAAAAGCTATATCTTTAAAAGAGCAATATCAAAATGGGTTTTGATGCAGATTTGGGCAGTACAGCTGAGTGTAACAGCTTTCTGTATGCATTCCTGTTTGCTCTATAAATTATTGGGTTAGTGATGGATTTTTGCATCTCCTGTTTTAAGGTTCATCTGTTATCTCTGCAAGGTGTCTGGTTTTTTTTGGATGAGAAGAATGGCTTCCTGCTTTAAAAGGACATGTCCTTAATGGGTGGCCTTCCAGTATGCAAAGCATTAGTAGAACTTTGTGTGCAGAAATCAATGCCATTTGGATTGTTATGAGGATTTTCTGATAGAAAATAAAAATACCTTGCCTGGTTGCAAATCATATTTTAAAAATCTATTTTAACGGGCCATGAGAAAAATAAACAACAAGCAAGACTAACACGGTAACTGTTTTTTTGACAGTATTGTATCAGGTTTATGATTCATGAGTTTATTTACTAATTTAGCATTTCTGACTTAATACTTAAAGATCTTTTTACTCAGTGTCTACAGAAGAGAAAGGAAGGCTTATTTCTGTATGATGACTTACTTGTGGCAGCACTTGTGTTAAGAAGTTAAGTACAGTTTCATGGAAAAATAATAGTTTCGATAGTGAGGTATTTTTTAAATCCAGCGTCTATTAAAATGTCCAATAATCAGAATAAAGACAGTTTTAATATGTTTCAATTTTTACATATTTTTTAAATCCAGCAACTATTATAATGTCCGATAATCAGAATAAAGACAGTTTTAATATATTTCAATTTTTACATATTTAATGTTGGTACAATTTATGTTGTGTTCCATAAAATTGAATTGCTAATACAGTGCAATTGAGGAACAAGGTACAGGTGCAACCAATCTGACAGTTTGTGTTTGTCTTTTTTTCAGTTGTTTTGGTTCTTTTTAATACCAACGCAAACAGGACTACGTAACGTCCTCTTGGCAGGACAGCATAGTACAGCACTTGCAAGATAAGTGTGAAGATCTAGGAAGCACAGTTATTTTGCTTCTATTATTACAGTAATAGCAATTATTTAACCTCGCTGTTGTAAACCATGCAGTTCATTATGATAACGTGCCACATAAAAAAAATCAAAGTTGAGGTGTAATGTTAAGAGAACCTATTGTTGAGAGTAACATGATTCAGCAACGACGTATATGTCTGTATTTTGCTTCTGTCTTTCCAAATTAGTCTGTAGATGCTTCTCTCTAATGCAACTCCAGTACATGTTGCTAGTCTTCAGAAGCTATCCTAGGTATGTGTGATTGCTGCTTGTATGCATGGTCTTACTCATAAGGTGCACCAGGGTTAGGAGGTAAATTAATAAGTTGTAGTCTCATCCATACCTCTTCCCACTCCTTTTTTTTTTTTTTCTTCTTAATAACCAAAAGGGAGATAGAGATGGGAAGAAAGCTGTGTTGCTTCCATAACTGAAAGAAAGTAGGCTGCAGAATTTACCAGAAAGCAGCATGGAGAGAAAAAAAAGGAAAAATCCAGAGTTTAGCCTTACACTTACATCTCTCTTTCTATGAAAGAATTCCCTCTCTGTTGTGGTAGCATGACTGACAGCAAATTTGGTGCAAGGCATGAGCCTCTGTCCCTGCAGCTGCTCCTGTCTGCCCTGCCTGCCTTACACCAGTGCCTGAATTCCTCTACAACGTGGCTCCCACATGCAGTTGTAGCATGTAACTGCTTAATGCTGGTGACATAAATACCATCTCTATTTGCAGATAAGTGAGGCATGGTAATTGGTTCAAGTATGTGTACCGAAGTCTCTGGCCAAAACAAGTTCTCTGTTTTCACAAAGTGAACAGCCTCTAAAAACTACTCCATGTTTGCCCTGACTTTGGAGCTGTACTATATTGTCCCTGGTAACTAAAGGATAACTTGCCATAAGCAAGACATTCTCACACATGCCTTGTGCTAAGTAAACAAGTTATTCAGGTAATGATACATTAATACGTTTTGTAAGGTAAACAAACTGTGTTTTTGCAGCAGATTTACATGTGATCTCTGTATTCACGGAGTGAAATCCCAGTCACGTTGATCTTGGTGTTGAAACTCATTGGGAGCCAATGCCAATGGTTAACAACATACGTCTTATTCAGATTCCTGCGCATGCAAAATTCATATTGAATAATGACTTTGGTATTCTAGAGCATCTTTTATTAGGTGAAAGTAACAGTCTGAAGTACAAAGAGAGGCATTTCCAGTCAGCAGTGAAAGATTGCATGATATTGAGCTACAATAGAGAATTACTGGACTAAAGAACATTTTTAAATCTATGTACACTTCAAAAAATTATTTGCATGTGTGTTGCTCGATTGACTTGTGCATCTGCCTGTGCCTAATGCTCGGTTTTCCTTTTTAACAGGTAGAGAGAATTGTTGACAAGAGGAAAAACAAGAAGGGAAAGACAGAGTATTTGGTGCGATGGAAAGGATATGACAGTGAAGACGACACCTGGGAGCCAGAACAGCACCTTGTTAATTGTGAGGAGTATATACATGAATTTAACAGGCGTCACAATGAAAAGCAAAAAGAAAGCACATTAACTAGGACAAATAGGACCTCTCCAAATAACGCCAGAAAACAAATTTCTAGGTCTACCAATAGTTCTTTTTCAAAGACTTCCACTAAATCTTTAGTTATGAGTAAAGACCACGAGTCAAAAAATAATCAACTCTTTACTGCCACACAGAAGTTCCGGAAAAACAATTCACCATCTCTTTCTGGAAGGAAAAATATGGACCTTGCAAAATCAGGTATTAAAATCCTAGTGCCCAAAAGTCCAATTAAGAGCCGGACAGCAGTTGATGGCTTCCAAAATGAAAGCCCTGATAAAATGGACCACACAGAGCAGGATCAAGAAGACTCTGTAGCACCTGAAGTAGCAGCAGAAAAACCCGTGGGAGCTTTATTAGGACCTGGTGCAGAGCGTGCCAGGATGGGGAGCCGACCAAGGATACATCCATTAGTGCCACAATTGCCAGTGCCAGTAACAGCCACAATTGCATCAGCATTAACAATAAATGGAAAAGGTAAGTGTACAAATCAGTCATTCTTATGTAGATTTTTCATTTGGCTGATTCATTTTGTGAATCAGATGCAAATTACCCACTTTTGTCTCAGACACATTAAGTCTGGAGGACTTCACAGCTTTATGACTACAAACCCATTTCAAACTTTACTCCCCTTTGCTCTCCTCGGGGAGATTCACTGGTATTTGTGTTTTCAGAACCACCGTGAGATACGTGTGTTTGCTTTGACATGGTTGGCTCATGTATTCAGTGTACTATTTCCAGGGGTAGCACCATTGCTTCTTGAAATAATGAAAGACTCAAATTTGTTATGAATATTAGAAACATACATTATGTGAATAGATGAACAATATGAGGAGGGATTTCTTATAATGGCTTATTTATGTTTTATAATGAAATAACTGATAGAGTGATGTTTCTTAAAAACTGAAGTTGATAATGTTTTTTTCATTGAAAATTTGTGCCAGTTGTGGAGATACATGCACTTTCTGCCTGGATTGAATTCTCTCTCCGTTATATTTTATCAATATTTTGTTGTTTATACCTCATTTCATATTGAGAGTTTATTTAGATTTAATGCCTGGCTTGGCGGTATCTCAGTAGATTTACAGTGGGAGTGAAATAAACTACATTTTCAACACCAAAGAAACCCAAACTATTTCTTTGGCTGGGAGTAAGCTATTAATTTCCCTCACCCTGATGAGAGTCTGGTTTAATATGGTCATCATTCTGATGCCACAAACTTTTGTTTTCTCGTGACAGACCCAACTTGTAGTTGCTAGCTTGCTTCTGAAGCTAAGTTTTCAAGTGTAATGTTCTCCTCAGATAAAATTCAGAGGGTAAAATCTGCAGGCATACTTTTGATGATGACTTGCTGGAAAAATTTATTGAAGTCAAGGGCTGACAAAAACCATGCTCAGAGACAAATTATGTAGGCACAAAAATACATTGAATGTGAGAGGTTGAGCAGTGTGTCCCACTGTTGCTTGCATTCAGATTTTTATGAAAAACAAAACAAAACACTTCTGTAGTGGCCGACAAGGGAGGAATGCTCTCCTGGAGCTGTGGTGTCAGGTCATGGACCAACCCCTTTTGCTGCAGATGAACTAGGTAACCATGGCAATGCACACATTGATGCCACAAATATCCCTTCCTTTGCATGGGCTAAAGAGGGGATGTGCATCTCTGAGGATGTAAATAAAGCTGGAGGGGGAGAAGGCAAGAGATGCCACTGTGCAAGTTTCCTCAGCAGGTGAGGTAGATGAGTGTTCACAGATGTAATGGTTTCATGATAAATAATATGTGCTTTGGAGTACAGTGGTGTTCCTAGTGAAGTGGTCGATTAGGACTGCCTTCAGCATCTTGGTGTTTGCCTTGAGGCATTCACAAAAACAAACCAACAAATAAAAAACACAAAGAAAAACCTCACACAACAAAACAGGAATAAAAGAGGACCTTCTTAGGTGGGTTAATAGTCTCCAAATAATTAAATCATTCCCACCAACCTCTCTGGTAATGCTAGTGTAGCAAGGGCTTGTTATAGGGCATGAAATGGAATTGGGAAGTCCTGTGCGGGAGTGATAGTGGCACATAAAAGATTATTGGAGGTGTATTAACCTGTTTCACTGAGGTGTTGCAGTTCACTTGTTACCACCTCCTTCATCTAATGCTGAAAGCTGTGCTTGCAATAACAAGAATACAAGATTTTTCTCACACTTACATTTTCACAAGATCTTAAGGTGTGGACCAAAACAGGAGGAACCAAGGAGATAGTCACGATGCATGGTTGCCCAAGGATACACAGAACATTTCTGCTTCTTTCGGCTCCTGAAGAGCTATTAACCAAGGCTTTCCTTTTCTCACAACACTGCCACCAACCTGAGCTGTGTAGCTTGCTTGGAAATAGAAGCAAATATCCTAATTTATTATGGTTCTATAGATGGACTCCTCTACAACTTTTTTGGGGTACTGTCCAAATCAAGCAGTAAATCTCTGATTATAGAGCTTGAAAATAATGTTATGAAGGAACAACATTCGGTTGTATCCAACATCTGTCTCTTTCCCTAACTCCTTAAAATTTCTGTGGCAGAACTCTTTCTCGTAAAAGCCTGTGGTACAACTCAGCTATTCTGCATCAGCAGATTGGACCTCTGTTCAGAGGGAAGCCAAGAGTTAGCCTGGCCTTGCAGTTTACCAAGCTGACACATTCTCCTTCTCTTCATTAAAGCTGCAACCTGCTCATTGCTGGCTTTGTTTTTAATGTCACTGCTATTCATTGAAATGTGATAAATAGACACTCCTCTTCCTCCCCTGCACCAGTCTCGTGCTGTTCAGAATCCTGTTCTGTTCCTTACTCAGGACATTCCTCCTGTCCTGACTGGACACCTCATCACATTTTCAGCACTGTCAACGCCTCAGGAATCTTGTCAGAATTGTTAATTTTGCAGAAACTTCCTCAAATTTGTACCCTCATTTCTAGCTCTTCATACTCACCAGATCTGACATATTAATAATGCAAATGATAGGTTTGGCATTATGCAGCACTCTTTCCAAACTTCCCACCTCCTCCACGTACACCTTCTGTTAAATTTAAGAGTTCCTACATCCACATGGAGGGTGCTGTCAGGAAGACAAAAGCACATTTTGGGAAATAACTTTGTACTTGAGCTGATGCAGGAAATTTTCCTCAAAACATTTTTGTGGGAAAAATCCCAGTTAATCAAAACAGAAATAATCAATTGGAAAGTGTAATTTTGAAACATTCTAGAAATATGCAAATTTTGTTTCAAATCAATTTTAGACAATTTTGATTATCACAGCTGATTTAGGTGTTGATTTTTTTTTTAAAGTAAAATTGGAACATAAACATTCAAAATTTTAATATGAAGGTGTTCCAAATTTTGAGATTATTGCTATAAATGCTTTTTGATTGTATTAATCATTATTTTTTTTTAGTCCCAGTTCAGGATGGTGAAGCTCTTCAAAATGTTGTCTTTGTGTGCTTGTTCCCCAGCCTCTTTTTATTTTTTTTTTATATCAGAAAAAAACAACAACAAAAAAAACCAAGCCTTGTATGGATAGGAGAATCCCAGTTTAATGACTGGAATTACAATGAAATATTGGTGTTATTGTAGCATCTAGTCATGCTTTCAGATGACAAACTGCCATGACACAGTTCTTGTTCCTAAGAAGAGTCTCAGAAAAGACAACCAGTAAATATTTAGACAAATACGCAGAAGTGCTGGGAGAATAAAATAATAGTTTTATTTGCTCTGTTAGTGGTTTCAGCATACCAAAATCTAGTAGCTGTCCAAACCATATGTTTTACGAAACCACATCACTGTATTGAATATTTATATTTTAAAGGCTTGGCCTTGAAAACAAAGCCTATGGAGTAATATTCTATATACTAGTCTAGGAAGGGTGGCATATGGACAAAGTGGGACTTGGTCACTGAATTAACACTTCTGTGGTTCCAATTTTTCTAAAGATCCTGTTTCTAGAAGTCAATATAAGTGATCTTTAAATGGGTGGATGGAACAGAAAAAAAAACATCACCAAAAACTGTGATGTTGCATAAGAGATCTTAGTGGTACCTACAAGCAATCTGTATTACTCAAAAATAGGCAAGACAAAAAAGTGGCCTCGTATCTGACATTAGGTTTGGATACATTTGAGATTTTTTTGAAAGCATGCTTCCTTAATCAAAATTGAATAACTTTGAAATTTCATTGCAAATTTTTTAAACATAATATGCTTATAACTATTCTAGGAATTTCTCTTCAATGGAATACAAAGAAGTGAAACTGTAAAGGGAATCTGAGCCACACAAGGCTAGAAAGTTGTTTTGCAGTTTTACAAAGAGTTTAAACACTGGATTGGTTTTTAATGTCCTGCAAAACTTGAGTAGAAATTAGTTGAATTCCATTGCTTGGCAAATTCTAGCTTTCTTGCTGTACTTTTTTTCTAGGTTTATCTATGGTCACTAACATTCTTATTCAGGTAATGGTGTGCAACGTGGATGCAATTGAGAATAAATGGCACAAACAGATTTTGGGTAAAATATCATGCAAGCTTCTAAAACAAGCAAGAAATGCCACATAGCTGCATGTGTTGTCACAATTAGAGCAATGCAGGCTGGTGGCTGGTGTGCAGGAAAAGAAAAAATACAAGAAATGCAGTGGAGTATGTCACTTTGCTAGATGAACAAGCACTGCTATTGCACACAGTGACATCAGCACCTCCCTCCTTGCACAAGCTACTTCAGATGTATAACTTGCATGAGCAATAGTCTGTCTGACAACAGAAGGATGACTGGAGTATATCGACCTGTGGGCAGCAAGGGTGTCTGCTGATTTTTCGGTTGAATGATGGTCTTGTTCTCAGCTTGAAACAATGGTATTGGCACTGAAAGAAAAGCCAGGCATCCTGAGAAAAATTATTGAGCTCACATTGTGTTTGTTACCCTTTCTCTCCCTTATTCAAAACAGCTTATGGGATTAAAACCTACAGATTTGGAAAAAAAAAAAAAAAAAAACATTTTCTGGAGAACATGGAAAATAGTGCCTGTTATTTGGTTAAGTCTGATAGCTGCGTTGCAAATCATTAGGTCACTGTCAGGAGGCCCTTCAGGAGAGTACTGCAGCTGATGAAGGCATGTAGGGTATGATTCAGATTAATTGTCCTTGTAGACCACAAGTGATGCATATAACCCATCCATCAAGCACAAGGAAAGTCGCAGAACTCACTCCTGTGGGAATTTGAGTGAAAAGTACAAATAAAGGAAAGTTGGGATGATGTGTTGCAGTTCTTCAGATTCCTGTTTAGCATTCTGGACAGACAGAAGCAGCTCTGAGCTTTCCTTTGTTTTTGTTATGTTTTGGTAGTAAAACATTATTCCCAAAAAAGCCTTGAGACAGGAACTTCCTTTTGCAGTGTGTTTGTACACTGCACTTGGGTGGTGGTTTGATCTCCATGGAGTGATCTGGAAAGCAACCAAG